CATCTCAGTGTCACACTTGGGTCTTTGCAGATCACAGCCTCAGAATGTCTCACTGCACGAGGGATGTGGGGTTGGGCCTCCACAGCTGCTCACACTGTCCGTCCAACTTTCTGGGGCTGATAAATCTATCCCAGAGCTCAGTCAGCAAGCAACATGCGCACTGTTGGGGTCACCTGTGCCAGCCTGGGCTCACCAGGGTCTGTGATACTCCCTCGTTTGTCCCTGCCAGTAACAGTCACTGCCTTGGAACAGCTTCCCTCCCCTCCTCCTGGAGGAAAATGCGTGGGTCAATCCAGCCACACTGGTGATGAGTTAGTGAAATTTATGTGTGGGAAACAGTTAATTTCTGGTTATACTTGAAGGAGAGACGTGCTTGCAGTCAACTATTCCACCGGGTAGTGGTCCCACCCCTTGTCCTGGGTTTTACATCCATTATTAGGAGGGTTCAATGGATTGTCTGGACCCTCACATAATGACTGTTTACAAGCTGAATTATGGTTTAAGGACGTTTCTCCTACTGTCATTGAGCCAGGGGGAGCTTGCTGGGACTTTTCTTTACCCAGTTTTCCTATTATGTCCCATTCTATACTTAGTCCTGCCTGGTGTGCCGAATCTCTATTGATGTGGACTGAATAGGAATCTCTCTGTGCAGGGTAGGCCCAGACCCTCCCATAATTGCTGACATTACTGGGGAGAGGTTTCCCCTGACCTGGCTGACCAGAAGTGACCTGACTGAGAGGTGATCTGACTCCAGAGGCCCCTTTCTAGATGCCTAGCCCTGCCCTTCCTTCCAAATCCCTTATCAGAAGGATTAAAAGTGAGTCTGTCTGTGCTGGCAGCCTGGGATCCTCCCATAGTGACTGCCCCAAACTGCAATTTAATGTTCAGGGAAGTTTTCCCTTTGTTGACTTGGCCCCAGTGGTAGGTACTAAACTATGTTCCATTTCAGATGCCTCGTGCTGCCCTAGGTTCTGAATCCCTTATCAGGAGGACTGAAGTGGATTCTTTCTCTGGGAGAGGCAGAGCCTTCCCATAATGGGTCATTACCCACGATTTAGGGCTTAGGAACGTTTCCCTGCCCTGTTGGGGGGTGAGGGGGCTGATGAGCCTTTCCTTATCGAGACTCGGTCCTTGAATGTGACCCATTTAACACGGCTATTGCTGCCAAAGTGTAAAATTTCTAATGTCTAATGAGGCTTATTGAAACGGATTCTTTTTGTCCCAAACAGCACTAAACTCTCCCCAAACAGTTGTCTGTACCACTAATTTAGGGCTAAGGGAAGTTTCCCCTCCCTCTGAGGCTTCCCTAGCATAGACTTCCCCTAGGTTTCTTTTCCTAGATACTAGGTTTTACTCATGTTCCAAATCCCTTATCAGGTGGTTTGAAATGGACTGGATGGATATCCAGAGTAGCCTTGGATCTCCATAGAATGGCTGTAGACACCAGAGTTTCAGAGTTCAGTCAGGGACCCTGATTGAGATAGCCCTTATCCATAGCTCTTGAATGTGCCTCTTCAGTATATGTAAGCCTGGCTAATTAAGCTCACCATGTCTATCTCAGGCAGCCCCACCCCACTCACATAAATCACAGCCACTATGAGTGATTTAGGGTCCAGGGAAGTTTTTCCTGAACGAAATGGGTCAGGGGCTGCCTGAGTCTTCCCTAGTCCCACGGGTCCCCAGTATGTCCCCTTCCGATGACTAGTTTTGCTTTGAGTTCCCAACCCTTCATCATGAGGCTTGAAATGGATTGTCTACGGTAGACATAATGGCTGTCAGGACTAGGATTTACAGTTCAGGGAAGTTTGCCTTACCCTTGCTGGGCTGGGGGAGACTGATTGAGCTTTCTGTGGTTCTAGCGGTCCCCAAATGTGACCCATTCTAGATGCCTAGTCTTGCCCTGGGTTCTGAATTTCTTACCAGGGGGATGGAAATGGAAAGTGCCAGTCTCCTGCGCCCCCACCCCACCCCCGGGATGGGATCTCAGGGGTGACTCCAGGGCTCTTGAGATTTGAGGCACCACCAACTCAGAAAGACTGCATGGGAGGGGATTTTCTAGAGGGTTCTACCAGCCCACGGGGAGTGGTGAGACTGGAATCAGCCCTATCTCTGTCTGTTAACTACTTGAAGCATTATTCTCTTTTTAAAAAAGGATTAGCTGGGTCTGAGCCATGCCTACAGAGGCCCTGCCAGTGAGTCTTGAGCAGAGATGTCAGCTCGCACACTACCGCCCCTTCTCTGGAGTCATGGACCACAGGGCCACACCCAGCCCTCAGGCCCCCTTCCTGCCCCACAAGCATTCCTATCTTCACCAAGCCCTTTATCTTATTTCCTCAGCCTCCATCCTCCAACCAGCTGCCTAGGACGCCTTCCCGTCTGACTCTTAACTGAACATTTGTATAGGCAAATCTCCAAAAACTATACACGCCCTGAGGTAGCCCTCGGAGCCCTCAGGGACTCTGGCCTGTGTGCACAGACAGAGTTGTTCAAGAGCTCCAGAACTGTCCCTACCAGCTCTTCCACAGAAATGTCACAAGATCTCATGGCAAGAAAAGGTTGAATTCCAAATCCTTTTCTTCCATCTTGTTTCAGACCTACACCCGGGACTCTAATATCAAAGCCCGTGCCAGGCAGAGACGTGCAAGGAAACGAGACGAGGGAACTCAGGATGCCTGGGCAAGAGAGATGCATCACAGTTTAAGAGACAAATATCAGCTTTCACGGAGACAGTTAAGTACAGTGAGCAGCAAGGCTGACGCTAAGGCACCTGCCTGCACCCCTGATTAGGAGCAGGAGTCTGACAGGAAGTGAGCTGACGGGAGTCATCTGCTGAACCTTGGTAGAACCCAGCTTTCCCTGATCGTTCTTCTCCCCATCAGATGCATTATTGACAATGTGGCCTCCCTCTCTCATCCTCCACCAAAGCACCCTGCTTCCCACCATGGTAATTTATATTTGTAATTTTGGCCTTGATCAATAAAGGCAACAGAGAAGATTTACACGTTCAATTTCAACAAGAGGGGCTGGAAAAAGCAGGATTCTGTGCAGTGTTTTATTTGGACCCCTTCTGAGGGGAAGCAAGCCCATCAGAGGAAATATTTGCACGCTGAAATAGATCAGCAATTTCCTTTTCCCCATGGGATTTGCATTAGCAAGTCTGCAAATGGAAAATGCACTCGGATCCACCAGAGTTCCTTACAGCCCTCAAGTGGGAAGGGGGATGTTAATCCTGTCGCTATTTTAAAACTTGTCTCAGGGTTGGGAGAAACTGAAATCGTTTTGGACTTAATTTTGCATGAGGATGTAGCAAAGTGTGACAGCAGGAGAAAAAGGAAAAAGGCTGGAAAGGAGAAGTGGCCCTAAGGGGGACCTGGCCACTGCGGGCTCTGAGCAGCACAGCCATTGGGGCACACGGGGATCTGGGGGTCAAGGGAGCACGGGGGCTTGGGAGAGGTAAGGGTGATGGTGTGGGTAGGAGTTCAGTTGCTCTCCAGTGCTGTGGGAGCGTGCTGTTGGCCAGGCAGGGAAGCACCTGGACAAGTGAGCAGAAGAAGGTGGCTGGGATGAGACGCACAGGCTGCAGAGACGCCTTCAGGGTTCCATGTGGACATGGCCTGAGGGCTGCTGCTCTATAGGCGATGTCACTCCTTACAGTGTCGTAAGGCCTGGCGCCACGTGAGGCTTGGCACATAGCCAGGTCCAGTCACCAACCCCTTCCTCCTCTTGTGATGTCTAAGAGAACCGAGGCCACAGTGTTCTCCTGTGGCGCAGATGAGGACAGGAGGGCCTGTAGTCAGCCTAGAATCAGACACACAGCACACTCACACACTGTGCACGCACAGGTACACCTCTGCACAGTTGTACATATCTTCACTAACCCACCACCCACTCACCTCACAGTCACACACCCACTTCACACTCATTCACCCTCACCCTCGCACATGCACACTCACATGCATAAGGGTCTACCTTCTGCATGCACTGGGCACGACCCAGGCTTCCTCAGGCCCACATGCAACCCTAGTGGATGACGACCGGGTTGGCAGTTGGGCCCATCATGTGTCCTGACGCTGCCCAGGCCTGCCAGGAAGGTGCATTGCTCTGCTCAGACAAGCACCTCCTCCCCAAAGGAGCTCATTAGCTTTTTTTTCCACTGGTATTCTGTGTGTCTGGTCAGCGAAGCCTAGGGCTGGACACTGCCAATGACAAATATGCCACGCTGATGAGGCAAAGAGGTAGGCATAGACAGTGTGCCCACCAGGGACAGCACCCCCGCTGCACTTGGGGGCCATGTTTCTGCTCGGCACAGCTGTCATTTCTTGTTACCTTGTCTGTCAGGTAGGGCTGCGCTGGTGCAGCCTGAGGTGTAATCTGCTGGGAACCTGATGATGTCCAGGCTGATCTCGGGCCAGACAGGACTGGCCCCTGCTCAGCAGAGAGCAGGAAATGCAGGCAGGAGGTCAGCTGCCCTGTGCCTGGACCAGCTGAAAAGCTTGAAGGTACACTGCTCCAGCCTCATGCAACCCACCATTTACACTGCAGTGACCCCAAGAAATTAGGTTTTTAAAATTGAACTAGTTATTTTTCATGCTTATGTAAAAGTTGCATAACACAGAGCATGTCGGCATTGACTCTCAGCTCCCACTTCTTAGCACCCATCATTGTTTCTCTGATAGGAACTCATTGTGGGGTCACCCCTGTGGAGTTTGAACCTCCTAGCCCAGCTCTGAGGGGGGCTGGCTTTGGATGGTGTTCTGAGCACTCAGGGTCTGTTTCACACATCGAGTTCTGGACAGTGAAGTTCCTGCCTACATCTGACCTTCTCCCCCCAACCAAGTCTCTCCCTAGGAAAGTGGGAGAATTTTCCACCACTATTAGGTTCAGTGGGGGCCAGGGGAGTGTCTCCATTCCTTCCTTTCTCCCTATATGTATATTCATTCAATCACTTGAATGATTTTCTGAGCCTCTATCATAGAAACAGTGCTGGCAGTAGGGGTGCAAGGGGAACACAGCCTGCGTGATCAGAAATTTTATTGAAGAAAACACCAAGGCTGACCCTACAGAGTAATGGGAGCATAGTTAATATTGTGCAAGGGGCTAGGTCCATTCTCACTGAGGAACCCCACGGACGGCAGGCAGTGGCCAGGCCGGAGATTCTCTGGCTCTCCCTCGGGCCTGCACTATTGTGTTTTCATTCCACATGTTGTTGCGGTCCCATTTCCAAGGTCCAGGGTGCAGTGGGGCCAGTTTGGATGCCTTCAGAACTCCTAAACCCTAGACGTGGCTTTCAAAGCCACATGCTCACATGTGGCATTGGGCAGGGGGAATTTGAGGGCCCCTCCTCCTCACTGGTCTGTGGTCATTCCTGCATCCGCCTTACAGACAGTTACAGGCCAATGGCCTTCTTCAGACAGAGCTGGACTCAGGCACCAGCAAACCAAGCATCCTGGGGGAGAGAACCAAAGCGAATAGTCAAGACCAGAGACTGAAAGTCAAGTATACTCCAGAGAGGGTCCTGCTCTGCTGCTCACCTGCCCTGGTGTCTCTGGGGCATCAACCTGTCCAGGTGGCAATGCTAATATCAGTGCCATGGAATCTCTGTGAAAACGAAAGGAGACGCTGCATGTTTAGAACCTACCATGCAGCAGGCAGTGGATAAATATCCATATTTATTCTCAGTTGCATTCTTATTGTTCCCAACTCCAGAGGAACTGGGCAAAGACAGGAAAGGTGTCCTCCAGAGATCTGGGTTCCAGGTGGTCAGCAGCAGAGCGAGGAGGGGCCGCCTGTCTGAGATGCCCCCCACAGGACCCTGGAGTCATGTGTGGCTGCCCTTCCATGGGACGTGCTGCTGTGCCTAATGGACACCGGGTCGGAGCAGCCTCTGCAGAGGGAGACAGGCTCACAGCATGCAGCAGGGAAGGCAGGAGTTGGCAGTGTCTCCGGGTCTCTGTTCTGGTGCTGTGAGAACACCTTGTCTTCTACCCTCCGACCTGTGGGGTTGCGGAGTGAGGGCCTCTGTGTCCAGCAAGGGCTGGCCAAGCATAAGGGCTGCTCCTGCCCCAGCAGACCTGCCTCTCAAAAACCTTCCCAATCATGGAAGTGCCTGCAGGGTTGCGTGTGCCAAAACTCTCCAGGTAAAGTTCCTTCCCAGGAGTGCCAGGTAGGTGGACCCCTGACCTGCGCCCTCCCCTACCCCACCAAGAGCAGTGAATTAGTCACCCCAGGCATGGATTGGGATGGATTGGGAACCAGAGGATGATTCTGTCAAGGACCATAGGGAACTAGAATTAAAATGCCCCACCTACTCTGAGGCTTGGCCTCCAGTGGAGACAGGCTGGCTCGTCCTTGTACCATTCATTCACTCAGCTTCTTTACTGGCAGGAGATGCTACAGATTCATGCAGGGCAGGAGAAGCACCCAAATCGCCTAGGCTCTTGTCTACTCTAGGCTGTGGGTGCTTAGCTGGTCAGAGTCTTAGCTGGCATTACTATGCCCCATATGGGGGGCAGACCCTGCTACCATCCCTCAGCCAGAGAAAGGCCGAGGTTGCTTCAACCTGACCCCAACCCTGGACCTTCCTCCTGGAGCACAGTGAGGCGGTGTCCTGGGGGTGGCGGGGCGTCTCCCTCCCACCTGGCTGTCATGACCTCCTGAGGGAAGCTTGCTCCCCAGGGAGCGTGGTGGTCCTACCAGTCTGAGGGTGGAACCCTAGTCAGTCCGCAAACCCAAGGGTAAGGCAGGTCATTCCCTCACAGGGGAGGAAAGTCCCTGTTTTGAACAAAATTTTTTTGGCTTTGTTTATTTTTGCCCTGTGACCAATCCACTCAGCTCTGGCCTAAGCCAGAGGGGTTGGTGCTCTTTCCAACACACCAGCTACATGGTTCATTGCCACTCAGCTTCAGAGACAGAGGATCTGCCCTCCTTTTACCCAGGCCAGGCATCCAGGGCCCATCCTGAAGTGTGAGTGTGTATATATGTGTGTGTTTTGTGTGAGTGTATGTCTCTGTGTGTTTCTCTGTGTTGTCTGTATGTCATCTACATCTGTGTCTGTCTGTGTGTCTATGTGTCTGTCTCTGTCTGTGTTTATCTGTTTGTGTCTCTTTCCTCACAGGACAGTCAGAAGCCACAGCCCACACCCTTCTCTGTCTGGCTTCTTTCAGGGGCCACAGGGAGGTCAGTGTCTTGGAAAACTAGCCCAGAGGACCTCTGACTCAGACCCACTTCCTTCTGCCTTCCATCCGCCCTCACATTTGGGGAGCACAGGCACCCACATCTCAGACCCACAGTCCTGACCCATGCCCCTACCCTTCTAGCTGGGCCACTTCCTGGGAAAGGCAGAAGAGGACACGGGAAAGAGCCCACGGGGGGGATGGATCCCAGGGTGTTTCTGGGATGAAAGTCTGCCCCCCCCCCCCCCCCCGCAGTCCCTTGCCCCTGGGAACTGTGGACAGACACCCAGATGGCTGGGAAGAAGGGGTGTTGAACAGCATTCCTTTGTGGGCTTAACCACATTCCCTGGTGCAGATGGCATCCTGCTTCATAGCTGTCTCTCCTCGCCACTTTGTCTTCCGCCCAGTTTTTTTTTTTTAATCTGTCTTTCCCCCGTTTTTACCGATTTATAAAAAACTTTACCTATCCCTCATGCTTACCCTTTGCTAGTGATTCCCCCAGCGAACATCTTCTCATTTTAAACTCTCTTTAAGATGATTTTGGGTAATAGGTTTTTATTTTAAATGTACACAAATTTGTCAGTCTCTGATTTTATAGTTAGAGTTTTTTTTTTTTTTTTATGGTGTATTTAAGAAATCCATATTCCAAAGTCACCAATCTCTCACTATACTTTCCAGGCAAAGCTTTTTTTTAATTTTTTTTTTTTAAGAAATGCACCTGTCTTGAAGTCTGGATCCACCAGAAGCTGATTTTATGTATGTTGGTTTTCCAAGGGAAACTGTTTCCTACTACACCCTGCAGGAAGGAAAACCTCATCCAAGAATGGGATCACAAACATCCCTGGAGAAGGATGAACAAGCTCCCAGACCAATGTCCACCCCAGGCAGGCCCTTATGTTTGGGAGATGTGAAATTCTCCAGAATGAATTCAGCCCGGGATTGATTTCAACCCACTCTAATCTGAAGAATAAACACAAGAAGGGCTTTCTTTCAACAGTGAGTGTGCGGTTTTCACAATCAGCCATGCCATAGATGCCAGACTTTGGGGGTTTTCTGTTTTCTGAAAAGGTCAGGGTAGCAGAATGTGTGCCCCAAGGTGAGGAATGTGTATGTCTCTCAGTGTCTGTGCATGTGTGTCTGTGTTTGTATATATGTGCATGTATGACTGTGTGCTTGTATATATGTACATGTATGTCTGTGTATGTGTGTGAGCCTGTGTATGTACATGGGTGTGCATGCATGTCCTGCCTGTGCATAACTGTGCTTGTGCATGTGTGTGCATGCAGGCCTGTCTGTCTGCACGTGTGTGTCTATTTTTGTGCATTTGTGCATGAAGGTGTGTCTGTATCTCAGTGTGCATATGAGTGTCTATGTACAGATGTCTGTGTGACAGGCTGAGTAGGGTGGTTGGGCGAGGATGTCCTACTCCAGGTCTGGTTGGGAACCTTTCCCATAAGTGTGGGGTGACTGGCCCCACATCTGTGTGCCGTGGGTAGCAGGCATGGGTGGGTACATGGAGTGCAGATGCAGAGGCTCTCGGCCTTGCAGGGACGTGGGACATCTGCTGTGCTCTTTTCCCTTGGGAGGCAGAGTCTGTCTCCTGAGTGGGCAATTCAGGGAGGCTTCACTCTGAGCTTTGGGTCTGGAATCTTCTGTTTTAGGGGCAGGAACCAGGTTTCTGGTCAAGGTCCTGTCTCATACAGGTGGCATTTGCCCATATGTCTTCCCTCTAGGTGCCTCAGCATGCCCAGGGCTCCATCAGCAGCTGTGGTTCCCTCTATCTGCTCCCCTTTTCCCAGGCATCTGCTCCCCTTGAGAATCTCACAGTCACAAACATACCACCTCTTGAGGGACTCCCCCAGCAGCCACCTCAGTCTGGTCCTGGGCACTCATTCCCTCCTCCTCTCCTCCTACCCCCTCCCCCATTCATCCTGATCATTCACTCAGTTCCTAATTAAATTGAAACCCCCCTCCCACAGAAAACCCCCATCTGCTCTCAGCAGAGGCACAGAGGCTGGGAGTACTTCTTGATGAACCATTTGCTGCAAATCGCCTTTCACCTTCCAAGCCTCACTCCTGGAATTAAACCTGGCATTTGAATGTGATAATAAAGAGAGGGAGCTGTTAGCCAGCAGGACACAGTGAAAATCCAATTAAGTTGTGCATTTTAATTCCCTTGCCTGCCTGGGCTCATTGCTGGGTGAAGGGAGCGAGAATTTGCAGTTTTTTTGTAGTTTATCTGCTCTATCCAGAGGTGGGTGTTTCACCCACTGATGATAAAGCTCAATAGAGCCTTTACCAAAATGGGTGCAAAAGGCAAGTCATTAAAAATAAGCGTCTTTAATTCTGATCTTTCACTAATGTAGACAGTAAGTGCTGTGCTAAAGAGATTAGTTTGTACCAACAGAGAACTAATTTTATTTAGGTTCTTGTCATTCAGTCTCCAGGGCAGGGGCAGTCTCTGGTCACCTGCAGGACTGTCAATGGTCAGAGCTGGTATTATGTCGCCTCAAGAACCTGCTACATACGCCTATCAGGTCAGCCAGGATCTTTGAAAATCTGAAAATACTGAGGCCTCACCTCACGAGGTCAGTATTCATCTTGAAGTTTAGTGTTTAGCCTCAGCTGTTTACAGATATAAACAGACTCTCGATAACCCAGGAAAGCTGAAAACAAGAGATGCCATAGCTGTGTGCTTCTCTGGACAAAGCTGTCCCATGAAATGGGCTGTGCTCTCATTCAATCTTCATGATGGATGAACAGTGTGCCTCAGGAGCCAGTGTGGGCATCTCTCTGTAGCACATTTATGTGGAGGTCTGGACATTCTATTTTTCGCTCCATCTTTTCTTTCTGAAGATGGCTGCAATCTCTAGTCTACTCCTAATTGCCACTTCTACTGAACTCTATTTTCTTTGATGCTGTGGAATTACTTCTTTATGTAGGTTGATAAATGCATTTTGACTACGTGTAGAAATGCTGGACGAAAATATGATTTGCATCTGTCATCTTCAGGTCCATCATCTGCTTCTCAAGCTTCTCAAGCCAGTGTGTGCAGCCCATGCTGAGGATGTTAACAAGCAAGAGCTTGCTGCCTGATGTGCATAGAAGCGAATGCTAGGTTTCCGAGAAAAGAAAGTGATGTTGCAAGGGCCTTCGAGGAAATAGTAAGCAAGGCTCAAATCCTACTCCCTGATCTGGGGGCTAAGATGGTAGCAGGAGGGGGCAGTGGAAGCGGTAAAATGCTCAGAATGACATGGCAAAGTTGACTGGTTAG